ATGCTTCTTTTATAAGTCATTGTGACCACTGATGTAATGTGAGGGGTGGGAAGTAGCAAGAACTATTTTTCAAATGCACAAATATATAATAATTTGTATTTTTCATGAAACTAACCCATTTGTGTAAAGGAACATTATTAGTATTACATTTTTCTTGGAATTGCAGTTAGTGAAATGTCATTAAAAATGATACTATTTTATCAGAACATAACAGAATTTTTTTAATGCCTGTATGGAATTATTTTGTATACAATCACAGAGCAAAATTAATTTCAAAGTGAAAGTTTCTTTTATAACTTATATTCCATTTCCTTTCTTTGTTCTTATCTAAAAAATGAAATCTCTACCAAGAATAGGGTTTTGCAGCAACACATTTTTCATTGTTTCCTCTGCCCTTATGCAATTCCAAAGGATTCCACATTTTGCTTTAATGTGATATTCAAGGTGAGTTTCATTTTACAGTCTACACAAATGCTATCCAAGTCGATCAGGCCTCTATTTCATTTCCGTGGAAAACTATTGAATTTTAAGGTTGCTTTTTACAAAAAGTTGTGCTTCTAACACAATGACATAAACATGAAGCTACAAAACAGAAAATAAGGAGAACGTGTGATCACGTAAAGGAGGAATGAGTGGACCCATAATGTCATGCCCATAATGTACGGCACACACTGCAGCTAGCCAGCCAGCTGGTGGCTCACAGTTGGAGGTATGGTCTTCTGAGGATGACTATTTCGAATTCTCTACACTCTGGCTTAACAGGTATCCACCAATGCTCATTTTCAGTTTGGTATTACTCAATGTATCAAATACCTCTTATCAAATTGAAGCCTCATTATTATTATTCTATTCTTTGCAAATTTTAACCTCCTTGTTGCTTTGTTTTGCTTAGACTTGTTAAAAGTTTGGTACCAATAGTAACCTAACTTCTAGATTCGCTTACCCATTAAATTAAATCCAGCTAACTGGCTGGAAATGTAGGTAGGGTTTTGCCCTCTGGTGGATGCTTAGGGAACAAGCTACAGCAGAGAGAAAAACTAAACATGACATGGAAAAAAAAGCTAAAATATAATTCTATTCAAATCAAAATCTGAGACATACGTTGAAATAGAAATTTTAATTGGGGCATTAAGCAATCAAAATATAGGGACAGATTATGAAGACAACAGAAATTCAATGGTCTTGAATGCCTATTTCAAGTGTAGGATAACCATGGGATCTAAACCAGTACTATCATTTTAATCAACATGGCTTTTCCATGGATCCTAGAGGATATCTATTATTGATCTTCCGAGTCTCTATCTGGCAGTTAGAGTAATTTCCAAAGTAATTACCTTTCGTTGTTCAAAGCTAGAAGTTCTTTGAAATCCCATTATTGTGATTAAGCACAAGTACCAACATTTGCTACAGATGTATTTGGAGAAACATTGATGCTTAACACATAGAAGACATTGGGTATCTTTTAAACATCGAATGAAAACAACCATTGGTATTTGTTCAGAGACCTTTATTTTTTTAAAAAAAAAAAAAAAAAAACTTCTAGGAAAATAAACGTTTTTTCTTTCTGCCACCTCAGGCCACCTGCATATACCCATCCTAGTCTCTCACGCCACCCCCCCCCAACTATGTCTAGTCAACAGCATTTCATCCAGATAACTATATACCCAGTATGTGTTTTAACTAAGCTTGAACTGACACTCATGTGCGAGTAGCTTTGGAACAGGTTCTGATAACTTCATCTCTGGTATATGCCCTTAGACAGAATCCAGGTGCTGAATTACCATCCCCCACCTCTAGATTCTCCCATCATTTTCTAGATATAAATTATAACCACTGCCTGACATCCACATGGAGTGTGATATGAGATCCTTATTTCATAGGATATAAATAAGAATTATTTTTCTAAAGTTATTTACTTGAGATAAATTTAATTTGTTACCTTCATTCTCTGGTTTAGGGGATAATCCAGTGGTATATTATTTCTAGTTGATACATACATTGTACACATTCAAGAGGTACAGAATGCTTGAGCCCATATATAATATACAGTCATTAAATCGGAGTGTGTGGTACACCCGTCTCACCAGACACTTAAAAAAGAAGGTTGAGTTTTCATTTTCTTCCTTTTTCTCTCTTCATCTTTTGTCCCTTTTCATTTTTTAGACAGAGGCTCAGTATGTAGCGCAGAGTAGCCTCAGACCTTCAGCTGGTAGTCCTGTCTCACTTCCCCAGTGTCCAACTTACAGGCATAGAGGATTACTAAGTAAGTGATTATTCAGATAATCAAACTCTTAGTTCTGGAGTGTGTGTGAAAGATGAGAAACTACCTGTATTCCCATCTCCTATGATCCCTTAACATCTTGTGTTTCCTTACATTCTGACCTCCTCTTCGGGCTTGCAATTTAGAGTTATTACTGCCAAGGCAACCAGTTGCTTAATTGTATGTCTAAGTAAAGAAGCACATACACTTAAGTCCAATAACACTACAGACTGGAGATAAAAACAAATCAGTGCTCTCGGCTCTGCGTTATCCCCCACACAGCTACTCTGCAGTACTGTTTCTAGAAACACTTTTCAATTCTCACAGTTTTGTTTCAGATGCCCATGGCTTTACAGAAGATGCACTTGAATGTTTTCATTCAGCATCTGTTTTCTTTCTCGCATCTGAGAAGAGACTATAGGCCTGATGCTACAGCCTGCCACTTTACTTCACATGTAATTTTCTGTCCTTGCTTGGCAACTTATGACACACTTTAAAATACTAACAATTCTAATTTTTCTAAACAATATCGGTTATATTATCTATAGTCAATCATTTTAAAATAGTGTCATTTATATTAGTCAGAGCTTAATTATCTTTTAGTTCATTCAACTTCTGTTTTTTGTGTTTTAATAATTGCTTTTATACTTTGATTACTTCCATTTTTTTCAATCACCGGTGTATGAACACCTTTGCATTCTATTTCTTTCTGTATCATGCCTCTGAGAACCTTATTGCATGCCACTGCCATGCATGTTCTCACTGGAGTAACTCTCCTCTGGCTGGCTGCAATGCTACACCCCTTAATTATATTAATTAATTAATTAACATTCCCCATCAAGTGTGGATGGGCTCCACATTCCTGCCTTGGTGCTTCTGCCTGGCTTCAGCTTGGAGTTGCTCACCTATTCTCCTTTTCTTCTCAGAAGGCACTGAGCAAGTGGTGCCATGTGGAAGCCTCTGAGGACAGTTCTGTGCTCTTCTCTCTTCTTTTCAGGTACCACCGTCCTGCAGCCAACCCTCTTCTGCCCTCTTTTCACTACTGTTATTTTTCTTCTGAATTAAATACTTAAGTCCATTTGTTTTTACACCTTTACTGCAGTCACAATGGCTTTCTGAAGAGACGGCTTGTCTACTCTACCACGTACAGCTTGAGGTTAGGAGTAGCCAGATCATAAGACAATGAGGAACATAGAATCTGATGGTATAAACACAGACAGTTCATACAACACAAAGTCCTGCACATCCACCAGGCAGATCACAGCACACCGATACCTTTCTCTAGACTTCTTTTGTCCATGGACTCAGTAGAGAGTTAGTCTGCAGCCTAAGTGGATGAGCCAACCCTAATTTCCCCCCATGCTCATAACCATGAGGCCTCACACCTATTAGATGGCCATGTAGATGTTTTTGAGACTTCCTAGGACCAGGGAATGGAAAGTGTAAATTTTGTTTGTTTAAAATACATACTAAATTCCCAATAAACTATTTCAGACACACAGTGCAAATCAGTGAACAATGTTCCCTTCATGGAAGAATCACTATTCTAGCAAGAAAGGACATACATCTGTCCACTGATAGGCAGTCAAATTTCAGTGTTATTGAAAAAGAAAATGTATCTGGAATTAGGAGGTGGGGTTTGCCAAAGGAGAGATTAGCTGTAATTTAAATTACAGCAGAGTAGTTGCAATGGGCATGTTTAAAAAGACAAAAGGAGGTGAGGGGTGGCAGGGTTCTAATATATGGGGATGGCAAAAGCAAGCAAAATGAGCAGCAGAGTTAGAGCCCAAAGGCACAAAGGACAGGTTAGCACGTGGCAGCATTCAGAACATCCTAAGAAAGGGAAAACAAGGTGAGGTCAGATCTCATGGAGAGGATCAGACTGATAACTTTGTAAAAGACCGCTCTCCATATCAAGGCATGGTATGAAGTCGGTGAGTGCATGATTAAACCATGGCACTTCCAGACAGCTGCATACTATTCAGCACTGAATAGAGATGTGCTATCAAGCCACGAAAGACACAGAAGAAACTGGAAGGACTCAGAAGAAACTTATATATTTCTTAAAAACTCTAAAAATCCAAGCAAAAAAGGGGGAGGGGCTACATCTGTTCAAATAAATGCTCCACTGGAAAAGGCAAAACAGGGGAGACAATAAAAAGATTGTGGCCAGGAGTTATAGTGGAGGAAGGGACTTGGGAATACAGAGAATACAGAGTTTCCCAGGACAGTGAAACTGTAAGATATTGCAATGGTGGTGCTGGATGTCATAAGAAATCTACCAATCACATAGAATGTACAACACAACATTTTGTGGTGATATTGTGTTCCCCAATATACCATGCACCCTAATAAATTTATCTGGGGTCAGAGAACAGAACAGCCACTAGACAGACATAGAGGCCAGAAAATGGTGGCACTTATACCTTTAATCCTAGCCTTCTGGAGGCAGAGATCCATCCAGATTTCTGTGAGTTCAAAGCTACACTGGAAACAGCCAGGCATGGTGACTCACACATTTAATCCCAGGAAGTGATGGCAGAAAGAAGAAAGATATTTAAGGTGTAAGGACCAGGAACTAGAGCTGGTTAAGCTTTTAGGCTTAGGAGCAGCAGGATGAGGACCCAGAGGCTTCCAGTCTAAGGAAACAGGATCAGCTGAGGAATTGGCAAGGTGAGGTGGCTGTGGCTTGTTCTGCTTCTCTAATCTTCCAGCGTTCACTCCAACACCTGGCTCCAGGTTTGTTTTTATTAATAAGACCTTTTAATATTCGTGCTACAATATTTCATGATGATGACGTGTCAATGTGGCATCATCAGGTGAAGGGTGCAATACTATGAGACCCTGTACATGTGTGAGTACAGGGAATATGGGAAATATCTCCACTTTCTCCTCAGTATGTACGCAAATCTAAAACTGTTCTAAAACTTTGAACGAGTTTCCTGGCTACTGTGTGGTCAATAGGATACCCGAGAACAAACGTGGGGCTCCTGGACCAGTTTAGATCAATTGTAGGACTCCCGCAAGGACCTACAGAGGTGGTTCATACCGGAGATGTGCTAAGTAGGAAACCTTCAGAGTCTGGAAATTCTAAAACTAGGGTCAAGAAGACTTTCAGACAACACAGTTATATGAAGTAACACAAGTCCTTGGCTGAGCTATAGGAAGGTTGGAAACACTCTCACAAAGCAATTTTGAGAAAAGATTGGAGTTAGGTTTAGTCAAGTTAGATTGACAATCAAGTGGGTAGGTCAATTGTTTTATGAAACAAATTCACTGTCTGTATTCAGCTAGTGTGGAATCTGGCATGGATTTTTTTTTTTTTCCCTGCCTCTGCCAAATGATGCTTAGAAATTTCAAGTTGCTACTTCTTCTGTCAGTCCTCAAGCAGCAAAAGGCATCTATAACAAAGTTTCTTTCTATTCTGCTGCAAATCCTAAGGGACCCAGGAAAGAGTGGGCTCTGGAGTTCACATTCCCCAAGGACAATGACACCCTTCCCCTTCTCTCCCCATGTCACCATTACCCACAGCTTATGTCTTAGGCAGTCTTCTGCTTCTAGGTACACGGTCTCTGTTCTCCAGCTGGGGAGCAGAACTTCCTGTGTTGAGTCTTGCAGTCTTTCCTCTTAATTTCCATTTGTTCTCCTCGGCCAACTTCAAATGCAATGCTTTCTTCCCATTCTCTCATTTCGGCTTTAACCCAATATTCTTCCTCTAGTCACACCTGAATCTATGCTCGAGCCATTGTCAAATTATTTCTGGATTTATTTATTTTCACTGACTCTATTAGAGGCTTGGTGAAGATGGAGATGTTGGAGCATCAAATGATATGCTGTGGAAGGCAGTGGGAAGCTTAATTAATGTACATGATTCCTAGCACCTATTGCTGCCTTCTTAGCAAAGAAAATGTGGTTGTTGTCTAGTCTAAACGTGTAAGGAAGCATTGTTACAGAGTCCACGAATTCACTGTCAAAACATCACTACGGCCATTTTCCCCCCTTCCATCCACTCATTTGTTTGCTAGTATGTTCAGACTCTGTAAGAGACTCCATGAATTTCCACTAAGCCATAGAATTTGCCTAAAACTCGTTGTCTCTATTTACAAATATTTCTAATGTGTTCCACTGTTGATCCTGGCTACAATCAGCTTGTTTTGGGAGCTTCTTCATATGGAGGTGGAGGACCTAAGGCACCAAAACATGGAGCCTGGCACAGTTCAGTGTTTGGTGTAGGAAGGCAGATTCCAGCCGTTGGACTTCCAGCCATTTCTGTACCTGGAACAAAATGCAGGGGGTGTGAGTCACCTTTCAGTCAATGCACGGAGAAGATGAATCTGGCCTTTCTTGCATCACTGGAGAAACAGAAATTTATTTGTGCCCTTGAGAAAAACATTCACAATCACCTTTCTCGCCACACCGATAGCTGAGTCACTACAAGGGGAAAATACCCAGAATGATTTGCTTACACCATTACTGACTAACCCACCTGGAAACTTTACAATGTAGCAACTGAAACCAGAAAGAAATATTCTGTTGGGGACCATGGAGATGATTCCTCTAAACATTAATGCTGTTTTTTGCTAATGCTGTTTCACTAATAGGAAACCCAAGTCTCACTAGGAACATTAGACTACTACTAAACTCCATTGTGCCATATTTAGGTTTTCAAAATACAACAAATACAAATAGTTCGGTGTTTCCTTGTAATAGGTAATAAGCATATTGAGATAAGTGGTGACAAGCTTGCACTTAAAATGCATACATAATAAACACAAAACATTCTAAATAAAAGAAAAATTTTCAAATTGATGTCCTTACATCTAAATCATGTACAATACAGCTGTTAAACAAGCATTTCCTTTTACAAAGTGGTAACCTTGAGGGACCTTGAATTTTTTCCAGTGGCTCTTTCAGAAATCAGGATTGCCTTGAAGGATTATTTTGAGTCACTGGAAAAATCAATAGTAATATTTTATAACCCTCCTTTTTGCATACTTATTATTTTTATCCTGGATATTTATCTAACTCTGAATTACTTTGACATTTTCATATTAACTTTAGCTGAAACACAAGCATTCTCACATATTTACATATTGATTATGTCAGCTTTTAAATTATAATGACTGGGTCATTAGTTCCTCTAGAAACTCTATAGGTCACAAAGTCAAAATTGTTTCTCTCTGTCCTCCAACAGAAGAGGTTCACTAACCTTCCTGAAAGGATTCAGACTTGGTAGCATCTGGAAGAATGCTATATTGCAAAGAATATACCATAGTTACCAGTGAATTCAGAGTACTAGACATTAGCTCACTAAAGGAATCTATATGCACATTATCAAAATGATTACTTTGTATGAATTATGATAATATAGAATCATGTTTTCCACATGTGCATTTGCTTTATTTCATATCTTGATGATCCTTGGTTGTTAGCATTACATGAGAAAGACAGAGATGTATTGAATATATTTTACTTCTTGCTCCAGGATTTTTCTTAGAATGCTTTTGTTTTTTTTAAACTGAATAACCCACCCCTATGCTATTACATTTATTTAGCTCACTTTTCTCTTCTTAAGCAAAAGGATAATGATGGTATCTATCTCTGTAAAAGCAACATTAACTCTCTGGAGATGTGGTGAGGCATTTGATTAGCATGTGCAAGGCCTGAGTTTAATCCCCAGCATTGAAGAAGGAAATCTCAAGGAAACAATGTTTAAAATGAGCCAGGCGTATAGTAAAGGGTTACTGCTCTTACATAGCATCAGATATGGTGCCATGTTAGGAATGTGTAGCAATTTAAATCTGTAACATTATTTTCTTATCAATTCTATATTAATGGTTATTTAGTGATTTAAATCATCATTATCATTATTAGATATGACAAAAATCACTAAATAAAAGTGTAGAAGGTAAAACCTTATGTAGTGCATAATCTTGGACTTGAGGTCAGCTAAGCTGGGGGACTCCATCAGATAGAGTTAAAGCTGATTTTCTACAGTCCCCTTATCTCAGTAATTACCTCCATTCAGAACTCAAGCTATGAACGGTAGCCGTTCTCCTGGTAGACTGCTGCTAATGTACTCAGCACAAAGTCAGAAGTCACTTAGACTGCTGCCTGGGAATGTTTGGCTAGTGGCTTGACACATTTATTTTTTATGTTAGTTTTAATTGATTTCTCCTGCTGACATCAATATTGTGATCCCAGTGATATGATCCTGACAATTGGTCTCTGTGGTAGGGAAATAGTATCTCTTGACTACAAATTTGCCTGTTACTCTTACGGTTGTTATGAAAACCATAGGTGTTTTATTGATAAACTAATTAAACCAATGATCTTCGAAAACTTGGAAACTGAAGATATTACCAATTGTCATCTTTTTTTGAGTATGTTAATATACAATTTCATGTGTCTTGGAGTGGGTGGAGCAAGGGATTTATTTATTTGTTTGCTTATTTATTTAGAGGGCATGTATGGAGGCCAGAGGACAACTTGTGGGAGTCAGCTCTCCTCTCCCACCCTGTGGCTCTCAGGAATTGAACTCATGTCATCAGGCTTGGCAGCAAGCACCTTTACCCAACGGAGACATTTTGCTAGTCTTATGTTTACCTTATAACAAGTTAACTCAGTTTAACAGTATTGAGAAAACCCTATGTCTTTGTCAGAAAACTGTTGGTTGATTTATTTTTCAATTTTATAAAATCCACACATTTATCACTGAGTTACTATAATTAGAGTCTAGATTTCATACATCATTGATAGTAATTCCAACAGATCTGATGTACGTTAACATACTTTTTCTACCTCTCTCATTTCTTACCCCTCATTGGAGCATTGGGAAGTGGGGAAGGAGGAAGTCTCACCACTTTCCTCCTCCAGGCTTTGAACTTACTATGTAGTTCAGGCTGCCCTGGAACCTGCAGCCCTCCTGCTTAAGTCTCCTGAGTGCTGGGATTACGGATATGAATCACCAGGCTTGGCCGTACTCCCGTTTCAGCTCTCCCTCCTCACATAGAGGAATGGCTAACAAGCCTGAATGTGAGCCATCGTTCTGTCATACACTGAGCATGTGGCTTCACCTGTGAACGCCTTTCTCTCTTCGTCTTCAGATTATTAGGAATGGTAGCAAAGTTTTCAGAGTGCCATTGGGAAGAAGAAGTGAAAGTTGAGGTATGTACACGTGGGAAACACGGAATCATCTGCCATTCGCAGGTCTTCCCACAAGTGTGGGAATGAAGCCCGCCCTCTTCCCTTCCAAATATGCCATAAGATACTTACATGTGGAGTATAAACCCTACGAAGAAAATCTCTAACAGATCCTGTGATAAAACAATCCTGAGCCACCTACAGGAATAAAGACTTGGATATGCAAAGGCTTGCTTCTTGTCTACATCCCTCCCGCCTTCCTTTCTCTTTCCAGCTGAGAGCATTCACATTTAATCATGGCTGAAAAAACCAGAAGCTCTTTTTTTTTTCTTCTGAAATATGAAAAACAGAAAGTCATCTGTGAAACTGCAGAAAAAGTCAGGGTTAGAGAGATTGCGTAGCTGGAAGGTAGCGTACCTAGGTCAACAGCCCTAAGAGGCTGGGGCAGAGTGAGCCTTCCTGGAGGGAGGAAAGTCAGAGGTCCTGGTCAGGGACAAGTGGGACCGGTGGAATGAGGACAGGTGGACTGCTACATAGACATCATAGTAAACTGCTGTTGTTTGTTTAAATGTGGACAAAGTTGTCTCTTATACGCTCTTCTAATGAATGCTAGGTCACTTACATACCTTAACTGTCTTCCACTCACCTCCCAAACCTCCAATTTATCTCCCTTCATATCATCAAATGCCTACTTCCTTATTAAAATGGGCTCCTATTCAGCTTTATCACCTTACTTTCCATGAGATCACATATTTACCTTTATTTTTAGAGAATTCATTATTTCTGTTGTGAATACATTGTAAAAGTCACTTGACATTACTTTTCAAACACCAACTAAAACACAATCTAACAAACTCAAATTCTTTTACTTACTTATTTTTTATAATTTAATTTAATTTTACATATCAGCCATGGATTCCCCTGTCCTCTCCCCTCCCGCCCCCCCTTTGCCTTCCCCCCACCTCACCCCTAATTCCTATCTCCTCCAGGGCAAAGACTCCCCTGGGGGATTCAGCTCAACCTGGTAGATTCAGTCCAGTCCAGTTCCCTCCTCCCAGGCTGAGCGAAATGTCCCTGCATAAGCCCCAGGTTCCTATTTATTTATTTATTTATTTATTTATTTATTTATTTATTTTACTTATTTTGAAATCACAGCAATGTCTATTTCACTGTTTTACTATCTTTACATAATGGAATATAATAATAACTTATGGTTGCAAACCTTCTGTACTTTCTGTTCAATTATCCATTAGAATAATTATTAAAATCATAGATAACCTGAAGTTGACAAAAAGTTCAAACAAGTTATCATTTTACGCCTAATTACATAGGAATTAGGGAAAAAAAAAAACAGCTAAATAACTGTAGGATTAAAGCCCGGGAGAAGCAGGAAGGAGTAAGAGAGAAGCTAGCTGGTAGCTGGTGGCACTTGGGAAGACCCAGGGCTGAGTGGATATTGTGGCAGAGATGCTGATGCAGAACTGGACACAGAAGATGGTGTAGGGTCGGAATGAGGATAATGAAGGAAGGAAAACTGCCTAGCTGAGTCTGTGGCTGGAGACGGGAAGAGGAGGTGTGCCCATAGCAGAACAGAAAGGGATGGTTTGAAGTCTCTATGAAATGAATCCATGCCAGGCGATTTTCACACATCCAACGAAGATTCTTGCTCTACTCCTTTAACTGCTGCCCTTCTTATTCCTTCTATTCTCTGGTAACCCCTGTTCCTGCTGAGATGCTGTATGAGTACTGCCACAGCCAAGTACCTCTAGCTGGGTGCCTTTATCAGCAGAATTTTTTTTTTTTCCCTCATGACCCTGAAGGAGACACTCAGGAACAAGCGTCCGTAGCTCTCTTGTCTTGGGAAGTCTCCCTCCTCAACTTGCAGATGACGTCATCTTCCCCTTGTGTCTTCACAGTATCCTCCCTCTGTTCCTGTCTGGGGACTAATTAACATCCCTTCAGAGGGATGCTAGTCAGACTGGATTAAGATCCACACTTGTTATACAATTTTAATTGAACTGCCTTTCTCAAGGCTGTAACTCCAAATAGTTTCATACTCAGAGGTACTAAGTGTTGTGGGATAATCTTTTTGTATACCGTGAAGATGTGTCTCAGTCTAGGCACCTTGTGAT